ATGTGGACATCTGAATACATGTTCGCATCTTTGAAAGTTTGCAACTTGAAAATTCGTATGTAGAGGACTTACTGTATTGTTAAAATGACCATTCCAGCCTAAGGCATTCTACAAATTCTGTGCAATCCCTATCAAAATACCAAGGGAATTTTTCACAGAACTAGGACAAATAATTCTAAAATTTGTAATGGAAACACAAAAGACCCTGAATAGCCAAAACAATCCTGAAGAACAAAACTGAAGGTATCATGCTCCCTGATTTCAAACTGTACTACAAAACTATACTAACCAAAACAGTACACCAAAACAGACACACAGGGGCTTCCCTGGTGGCGCAGCAGGTAAGAATCAGTCTGCTAATGCAGTGGACATGGGTTCGAGCCCTGGTCCAGGAAGATCCCACATGCCACGGAACAACTAAGACTATGCGCCACAACTACTGAGCCTGTGCTCTAGAGCCCGTGTGCCACAACTACTGAGCCCACACACCACAACTACTGAAGCCTGCGTGCCTAGAGCCCGTGATCCGAAACAAAGAGAAGCCTCCGCAATGAGAAGCCCACGTACCGCAACAAAGACCCAATGCAGACAAAAATAAATAAATTAAATAAATAAATTTTTTTAAAAAGACACACAGATCAATGGAACAGAATAAAGAATGCAGAAATGAACACATACTTCCATGATCAATCAATCTACAACAAAGGAGATGAGACTATACAATGAGTAAAAGTCTCTTCAATAAATAGTACTGGGAAAACCGTACAGCTACATGCAAAAGATTCAAACTGGACTACTTTCTCCTTTCTCATACCATATACAAAAATAAATTCCAAATGAATGAAGACTTAAATGTAAGACCTGAAACCATAAACCTCTTAGAAGAAAACTCAAGCAGTGTGCTCTTTGACATCAGTCTTAGCAATATTTTTTTGGATATGTCTCTTCAGGCAAGGGAAACAAAAGCAAAAATAAACAAATGGGACTATATCAAACTAAAGAGCTTTTGTATAGCAATGGAAACTAGCAACAAAAAAGTGAAAAGAAGACCAAAACATGGTATGGGAGAAGATATTCACAAACAATATATCTGACAAAGCGTTAATATCCAAAATATACAAAGAACTCATATAACTCAACATTAAAAAAAAAATCAAATTAAAAAATGGGCAGAGGACCTGAACATTTTTTTCAAAGAAGACAAACAGATGGCCAATGGGCACATGAAAAGATGCTCAACATCACTAATCATCAGGGAAATGCAAATTAAAACCACTATAAGATATCACCTCATACCTGTTAGAATGGCTATTATCAAAAAGACAACAAACAACAAGTCCTAGGGAGGATGTGGAGAAAAGGGAACCCTCAGGCACTGTTGGCAGGATGTAAATTGGTGCAGCCACTATGGAAAATAGTATGGAAGTTCCTCAAAAGATTAAAACAGAACTCCTATATGATACAGCAATTCCACTCCTGGGTGTTTATCCAAAGAAAACAAAAACAGGGTGAAAAGATATATACACCCCTATGTTCATTGCAGCATTATTTATAATAGCCAAGATATGAAAGCAACCTAAATGCCCATGGATAGATGAATGGATAAAGAAGATGTGGTACATATATCTAATGGAATATTACTCAGCTGTAAAAAAGAATGAAATCTTACCATCTGCGACAACACGGATGGACCTAGAGGGTACTAAGTAAGTGAAATAAGTCAGACAGAGAGAGACAAATACTGTACAATTTCAATTATATGTGAAATCTAAAAAACATAACAAAACAGAGAGTCACAGAGAACAAACAGGTGGTTGCTAGGGAAGCTGACTGGGGGGGATGAAAAATAGGTGAGGGAGATTAAGAGGTACAAACTTCCAGTTACAAAATAAGTGAGTCACGGGTATTAACTGTACAGTGCGAGAAATATAGTCAGTAATGTAATATTTTTGTATAGTGACAGATGGAATAACTTTTTTGGTTTTTTTTTAAATTTATTTTATTTATTTTTGGCTGTGTTGGGTCTTTGTTGCTGCGCACGGGCTTCCTCTAGTTGCAGCAAGTGGGGGCTTCTCATTGCGGTGGCTTCTCTTGTTGCGGAGCACGAGGCTCTAGGCGCGTGGGCTTCAGTAGGTGTGGCTCGCGGGCCCTAGAGCGCAGGCTCAGTAGCTGTGGTGCATGGGCTTAGTTGCTCTGCGGCACGTAGGATCTTCCTGGACCAGGGCTTGAACCCGCATCCCCTGCACTAGCAGGCAGATTCTTAACCACTGTGCCACCAGGGAAGCCCGGAAAAACATTTTTTTTAAATAAAGGGGAATTTTTACAAAATTGAAAGGTATGGAATCTCAGATTGAGGCATCACTATAAGCCCCCAGTAGGATAAAATTAAATCCACACCATGTAATGAAACTGCAGAACACAAATGACAAAAAAAAGGATCTTAAAAAAAACCAGAGAAAAAGGCAGGTTACATACAATGAAATAATAATTCAATTGTGAGCATAGTTCTCAAGAATAACAACAAAAAGCCAGAATTTCTGTAAAAGGACATTTTCAAAGCGCTGGGGAAAAAAATAATTGGAAGCCTAGTACGCAGCTAAACTATCAATCAAGACTGACAAGGAAATAACGATATTTTCCAAGAGAGTATTTACCACTAACAGACCCTCACTAAGAAAACATCTGAAGAGGGAATTCCCTGGTGGTCCAGTGGTTAGGACTCCACACTGCCACTGCAGGGAGCACAGGTTCGATCCCTGGTCAGGGAACTAAGATCCCGTATGCCGCTGGCATGGCCAAAAAAAAACCCCAAAAAACAAAAAACTGAAGGATGTATTCATCTATTTGACACAAAAAGAAGGGATAAAACGCAAGAAAGAATAATGAAAAAACAAACAGTAAATGTATATGTGTAAAATGAAATAATCAGTGACAGCACAAAACAATTATTATTTATTAGAATTGTTCTAACATTAAGATGACTACCTTTGGAAGTGGTCTCATTCTTGGAAATGCTCATTTTGAGTCTGGACAATATGTTTCGATATGTTTAATGTAAACTGGGTAAGAGGCTGAAATAAATGACCCCTGACACACCTACTGACCATAGGGTTTTATCAATTAGACACAGCTGTCAAAACGTTCCCTGATCAGCTCTGTTTATCCATCTGTGGCAGGGCTTTCCCCTATCCTAACAGTTCTAGAACTCAAGTTTTAGTTCAAGGCATTCTTCCCACTCCCATATTCCATAAATTAAGAAATGAATATTCTAAATAGAAATGTTCCTTATATGAGCTTTTGGTTAAGATCTTCTAGTTTGGGGGAGTACAGTTTGGGGCTTTAGATTATAATTCAGGCTTTACAATTAGTCATCACTTGCTTGAACTTGGGCCAAGAAGAGAATACTTTGGCAGCTTTTACTAAGAAGTATGTTCCTCTTCCTCTGAAGGAGAAAATACCACACAGGAACAGAGAGGGAGGGAACACATACATTCATCCCTGCTGGCTGAAAGATGCCTTACTTGATGTGAACATTCCCTCAAGGTTCCCATATATTCACAGCAGTAAAGTTCTCCACAGTGTAGAGCTCCAATTCCCTTCTCATCAAAGGTTTCTGCTCACCACACTTGACTATCCAGAACTTTAGAAACACATGACCAGGCAACAGACCCCAGAGAAAGGTAAGCATGCGTTAAAGTAAGTAAGTATTATCACATTTTTCGAAGGCAGTGCCCTTCCAGGCAAGAGGACATAGTAAGAGGTTCAAAAGCCATTAAATACAGATGGAAAAGCCAGGCTCCTATCCCTTTTCAGCCCAAGTAAGCTCATTCATTTCAAAGCATACGTTAATGACCATGATACATTTCACACCCTGCATAGGCATGAGGATGGAGGTACAAAAGACACCGTCTCTATCTAGTAGGGGAGACAAAAACCAGATGAAAAGCGCTATCTCAGGGGTAAGCAAAAGAGGGCGCCCAGAAGAGGCAGCATCAACCCAGGTGGGCTCTCTTCCAACAAAAACCACATAGTCACATCACTTATAGTCAAAAATGTTTACTCTCCAAGATGCTTCCAAGAAACAGCTTACCTGATTTCACCCTCATAACAACTCCAGGAAAGCAGGTAAGGCAGGTAAATTCGTTGTTTACATCGTAAGTGAAAAGTGAGGCTCAAAATAAATTGACTCCTTAGTCCAAGACAACCCGCACCGCCAACACAGCCCCTCCCCCCCACACTTAAGCCCAACTCCACAAAAACCCCGGTATAGCCAACCACGCACTATCTATGCAACCCAGGCCAAACTGAACATAAACCTCAGATGGCCCAACTGTAATAAAGCATAATAATGCTGTTAGGGATATTAAAAACACAATCCATATAAAGGGTGTGGCACAGTGTCTCAAACGTCGTTGGGGTTGAGAAAATGTTTATTACTACTACCACTATTGTTAACAATAATAGGCGAAGCCTTTCCACTACAGGAACCCTCGGCGACGAGCCTTTCAGGAATCCGCATTACCGGCACTCCTGTCGCCCTCAGACGTGATTCCATGGACACGCCCCCAAACAGACCCTCCCCCCCTAAGCACGCCCGGCACCTCCCCCTCGGACAAGGCCCTCTCCTCACAAACCTTACCCTAGATAGACTCTCCCCAGTCAGCCTCGGTTACGAAGGAGCCCTTCCGCTCACACCCGCCTCTCCAGCATCCCCTTTGGGCCCGGGCATCCCTGCGGGCGCCCAAACCACACGCCAGCAGCGGTTACCTGGCCCCGCTCTCCCGCTCCTACTCTGGCTTTCCCCGGATTGCGTTGGTCGCGGGCTCGCGCCAGCGCCGTAAGCACACAATTAGTTTAAACTATGGCCCCGCCCCCTCGCGCCGCCCTTCAATTGGCCCCTGTCGGCCGGCGTCGCACGCAAGAGCACGCTGGAGGACCCGGGAAAAGGAAGTGAGGGCCACTGGAAAGGGAGACAGGGTGCCACAACTTCCGGACCCCGGCCCTCGGCTTGAGGGCGAAGGCAACTACAAATCGCTGCACTGCCCGCGGCCTTGGAACCCAGCCCCTGACGGACTACAGCTCCCGGTAGGCATCGCGGCAGCGCCTATGGCGCTCAGCTGGGACGTGGTGACGTAGGTAGTTACCATAGAGTTGCTCTGAGTAACCCTGAGATAGTGGGACGCAGAGGCTGGAGGGGAAGCAACTGCGGGTGAGTTGGGCGGGAAAACAGGAAACCTGCTCTAGAGGACAAGAACTCTATGGAGAGGGAAGGGGCACACAGAAAGACTAAGAGCTTCCTTTCTCGGGGACCTGAGACCTCCCCCCCTTACCCCTTATCCCTTTTCGCAGTGAACAAGACACAAACCCATATGGGATAGACGGGCGCGGGGAGGAAAGGGAAGGCAGAGGCACATACCCAGACAGATTTGGGGGTGCTTAAGAACCTCCGCATCACAAAGATGTGACCCCCTAATACTACTGTCTCAAATCCCTGACACATCCTGGGAGATCTGAAACGCCTTCAGACATGGGGTTGGTTTTCCTCTGGTCGACTGAGACCCTCTTCAAGACATGGGAGTAAGATTAGAGTAAATCACAGTCCCTAATTCTGGATTTGTAGGAAACTTTCTGGGGCTTGAACTGCCCCTTTCCTTCCAAGCAGGAAGACCCCAGGGTAGAGCCCCCTTTTCAGAGAGTCAGCAGGATCTTCCCACACATACTTATTAGGGGTCCTGTCCTTAAATAACCTCTTCTCCCTACACCTCCTCTGTGGTCTGCTTCTCCAAGTTCTGCAGTTAGAGTTTCACTCCTTTTACAGTCTTCATGACAGATCTGTTACAACTTACCCAGTGTCTTCACATCCAGTCTTTCTTTTGAGCTTGGTGAGTCCAAGGATATTTATCCCCATTTCACAGATTGGAAAACTGAAACCTAGAGAGGAGCAGTGACTTGCGGGGGGCCACACACCAAGTCAGTGACAGCTAGGACTATACCCCTGTTTGCCAACTTCCAGCCAAGTCTGTAGCTTGAGCCTACAGCCTCTCTAGCTTAAGGACTTGTTCAAAGTAGTAAGATAAACTGCCCCAGGGAAAAGAAACTTGTATCGCCTACATTGAGTTATTTACATTTCAGCCTGAATGGGTTTCAGATCATTCCTTGAAAGTTTAAATGGGGAAAGAGAACTAGAGAGACTAAAGACAATGGGAATCAAACAGATTTAACTAAACAAGAAATAAACAGTCTTGCTAACACAGCACCCATGTCTGATGCTGCCATGATTAGTTAGCTTCTGGCTGGCTCCTAGCTGGCCTTGATTGGTCCACTTACTGTCTTAAAGCTCCCCCATGCTTGGTCCTAGGCCCACTTCCCACCTCACTCTAGATTCTCTTCTTGGATATTCTCATCCACATCCACAACTTCATTTACCACCTATATGCAGATGTACGGGAGTGTGTATCTCCAACCCCACCCAACCCTCATCTCCAAGCTCCAGATCTATATAACCAATTGCATCTTCAACATCTCCTTCAGGATATCTCAAAAACATCCAAGCTCAACATGTTTTCAGCTGAACTCATAATCCCTATGTACTCCAAGCCTGAATTTCTTCCAGTGTTCTCACCTCTGTCCACCATTACAGAAGTCAAAAAAACAAGCGTTATCTTTAATACCTCTTTCATTTCCCATCCATCATAAAATCCTGTCAGCTTTACTCCTAGTATCTTTTCTCTAGTCGTAGCTACCATCACATCCTTCCTGCCTTCCCTCCGAGCCATTTTGCATACTGCAACCAGAGTAATCCTTCAAAATGCAAATCTGATATTGTTCACTTTCCCCACAATACCCCCAATTAAAAATATACCTTGGGATTCCTATTGCTCTTAGCATCAAGCAACATCTCAACTTGGCTCCTACCCAGCTCTCCAGCCTCCAGTCTAACCATACATTTCCCTTCCACTCTCCCACCAGTTATATGGCCTTCTTTAAGGTCTTCAAAATTTCCAAGTAACCACTTACCATAGAGCCTTCGCACATGCTGTTATTTCTTCCTGGAATGTTCATCTTTTCCCTCTGCCATAGTTAATTTGTACGTATCCTTCATATTTCTCTTGATCACTATTTTTTTTTTTTTTTGGCCGAGCCGCGTGTCATGTGGGATCTTAGTTCCCCCACGAAGGATGAACCCGTGCGCCCCTGCATTGGAAGCGCAGAGTCTTAACCACTGGACCGCCAGGGAGGTCCCTCTCAATCACTTCTTTAGGACTATCTCCCCTGACTGCCTAGAGCAGCTCAGATCCCTCAGTTATAGCAACGTCGTGTCCCTCTCCTTTATAGTGTTATTCGCTGTTGCAATGTTTAACATATTGTTAAGTACCTACTACTTGCCTCCACTGTCAGGATACAACCATGAGAAAAACATGGCTTCTGCCCTGGTGGAGTTTATGTACACACAGATAGTAAGGAGATAATACTAGGGTTACGAGTGCTACCAAGGGTAAATATAGGGTGTTATGGGGGTCCAGAAGAGAAGTCGCACATCCAGACTTGGGCATGAGGGTAGGCTCCTCAGAAAAAAGGGAAACTGGAGCTGAGTCATTAAAAATTAGCAAGGCAAAAAGAAGAAACTGTACTCCAAGCAGAGAAAGCTGGATGTGCAGAAGCCCAGAGGCAGGTGCAGGGAACTTACTCCAAGTAGTTGCATTTGGCTGGCCTGCAGAATTGGAGGTGAGGATAAGAGATAGGAGTAGAGGGATGGGCAGGAACCAGTTTGAATTTGGGGCCTACCTTTGGCACCTAGAAATATAACTTCCCAGAATACATTAGATTACGTGGAAGACTTCATGACGGTCTTTGGTTTTTCTTCCACCTGTAGCCTATAAATAGAAACCCTCACTAGGCCAGGCTGTTGAATCTCCTATCAGATCTCTTCATCTGAATATTCCTCACAGCTTCCTGGGCCATCATGTTGCTACTTACCTGAGAGAGAGAAGAGACAGGCTATCAACAAATCAAATTCCAATTGTTAGCAATTTCCAAAAACTGAAAACAAATTTCCATCATCAACTTGGGATTGGTTAAATGAAGTTAAATTAAGTAAAGTTTTTTTTTTTTTTTGCGGCGCGCGGGCCTCTCACTGTTGTGGCCTCTCCCGTTACGGAGCCTGTTCCGGACGCACAGGCTCAGCGGCCATGGCTCACGGGCCCAGCCGCTCTGCGGCATGTGGGACCTTCCCGGACCGGGGCATGAACCCGTGTCCCCTGCATCGGCAGGCGGACTCTCAACCACTGCGCCACCAGGGAAGCCCAGTAAAGTTTTTTTTTAATATATAATTTTATTTATTTTATTTTTGGCTGCGTTGGTTCTTCATTGCTGCACGCGGGCTTTTTCTAGTTGCGGCGAGTGGGGGCTACTCTTTGTTGTGGTGCGCGGGCTTCTCTTTGCCGTGGCTTCTCTGGTAGCGGAGCATGGGCTCCGGGCGCACGGGCTCAGTAGTTGTGGCACATGGGCTTAGTTGCTCCACGGCATGTGGGATCTTCTCGGACCAGGGCTCAAACCCTTGTCCCCTACATTGGCAGGCAGACTCTCAACCACCGCGCCACCAGGGAAGCCCTGCGTTGGGTCTTCGTTGCTGTGCGCAGGCTTTCTCTAGTTGCGGCGAGCGGGGGCTACTCTTCATTGGGGTGGGCAGGCTTCTCATTGCGGTGGCTTCTCTTATTGCGGAGCACGGGCTTTAGGTGCGTGGGCTTCAGTAGTTGTGGTTCACGGGCTCTCGAGCGCAGGCTCAGTAGTTGTGGCTTGTGGGCTCTAGAGCGCAGGCTCAGTAGTTGTGGCGCACAGGCATATTTGCTCCGCGGCATGTGGGACCTTCCCGGACCAGGGCTTGAACCCGTGTCTCCTGCATTGGCAGGCGGATTCTTTTTTCTTTTTTCTTCTGACTCCCAGGCCTTATTTTTTTTTAAATAGATCTTTATTGGAGTATAATTGCTTCACAGTACTGTGTTAGATTCTGTTTCACAACAAAGTGAATCAGCCATATGCATACACATCCCCATATCCCCTCCCTCTTGAGCCTCCCTCCCATCCTCCCTATCCCACCCCTCTAGGTTATCACAAAGCATCAAACCTATTTCCCTGTGCTATGCTGCTGCTTCCCACCAGCCAACTATTTTACATCCAGTAGTGTATATATATCGATGCTACTCTCACTTCGCCCCAGCTTCCCCCTCCCACTCCAAGTCCTCAAGTCCATTCTCTATGTTCCTGCCCTGCAACTAGGTTCATCAGTACCACTTATTTTTTTTTAGATTCCATATACATGTGTTAGCATACGGTATTTGTTTTTCTCTTTCTGACTTACTTCACTCTGTATGATAGACTCTAGGTCCATCCACCTCACTACAAATAACTCAATTTCATTTATTTTTATGGCTGAGTAATACTCCATTGTATATATGTGCCACAGGCAGGCGGATTCTTAACCACTGCATCACGGGGGGAGCCCAAGTAAAGTTAAAGTAGGGTACACACAAATTCTATGGAACACTCTGCAGCTATTTAAAAAGGGTAAGAGAGTCTACAACAATTTGAAAAGAAAAAAATAGCTTTACAAAGGAACAGACAGTATGTGTTTACTTTAAAATATACATAATTTTGTTATATATGTCTTCTAGGAGTTTATATTCCCAAACTGTAAATCATGAGCATTCTTGGAGAGTGAGATGGAGAGCCACACTTTTAGTTTTCACTTGTATCTCTCTATGTTGTTTGACTTTATTCAGCTATCACGTTAACTTTTAAAATTAAAAAAGAAAAACTGTAGGGCTTCCCTGGTGGCGCAGTGGTTGAGAGTCCGCCTGCCAATGCAGGTGACACAGGTTCATGCCCTGGTCCGGGAAGAACCCACATGCCGCAGAGCAGCTGGGCCCGTGAGCCATGGCCGCTGAGCCTGTGCATCCGGAGCCTGTGCTCCGCAGCGGGAGAGGCCACAACAGTGAGAGGCCCACATACCGCAAAAAAAAAAAGAAAAACAGTAAATGATATTTCCAATCGGGAGAAGAAAAACTCCAAAACAGAGCAGGTATGCCCCTAACCCTGTCATTCATCAATTCAGTCAATGTAGACAAATGAGGAAGGCGCTAGGGTCTGACTAGCTCCTGGTCATGAGGCTGAACAGCAGCTGGGAAAGACTGACGCCAAAAACAGCCACTGGAGCGAGTAAGGCAACCTCAAGGCTCGTCAGTTCTCCCCAGCAGTCAGGTTCACTATGTGACACCTTGAAGGTATCATTCATTTATTCCTTCATTTCTTTCATTTCTCCATTTATCCATCAAGGCTTTAGTGAATACCCAGGCTTGGTGCAGGGTAATGGTGGGAAGAGAGAAAGAAGTCTGACTTCTTTTCCTGTCCTCAAGCTTACAGGGAGGGAACAGGAAGTAGGTTATAAAGAAATGAGTATAGAGAGTACAACTGGTTCAATTTATTGAACACCTGCTACAGGACATACAACAGCTCTCAAGACAGGGTTTGTCTCCATTTTACAGATAAGGAAACAGGCTGTGATGAAATTTTATTCAGAGTACAGTGGGGGCATATATCAATTAGTTATTGTTGTATAACAAACCATCCAAAAACATGGTGGCTTAAAACAATAAACTCTTATTATTGCTTCCAAGTCTCCGAGTCAGCCATGTGTTTCTTCTGGTCTTGGCAGGGCTCATTCATGTGTTTGCAGTCACATGTGGGTTGGGTGACTCTCGTGATCTTGCCTTCGGGTAGGCTGGCTATAGGCTAGTCTAGGATGGCCTCACCTGGGATCACTGGCTTTCTTTTTCACGTATCTCACCTACACGTTTCTCATATCCCTCCAGCAGGCTAACCATGTTCTCTTGGCACTGGCAAAGAGCACAGGGCAAGTCCTCTCTTTAAGCTTCTATTTGCTTCATGTTTACCAACATCCTGTTGGCAAAAGCAAGTTGCATGGCTGAACCCAGAATCAGAGTGGATGGAACTACAAAGAGGGCAAAAGAAATGGATACAGGGGAGACCATGATAGAGTTCATCAAGGGAATCAATCTGATACAGGGCACAATGATCAATTTTATCTGGAAAGAAAGTCTTCATCAAAGAGGGTATGCTAGAGCTGAGTACTGAAACATGAGAGTATTCACTAAGTAGGCAGCTGTTTCTTAGAAATGGATGCAGGCTGGTTTGCCACAATCAATAGCAACCCAGCAGGATTTCCTGTGCTCTTTACAGACAGGGTTCTATTATTTGTATCTTGGCTTCATTCCTTCTGGTCAAGCATAGGGCAGCAGGCGCTCAACAAATGTTTGAAGAATTGAATTAAATATCTTACTGTGAATGAGGTGTGGACTGAAATAGCTGAACCTCGGAGCCAATTGTTAGAAAGTGCAGCTTAGCATCAACACCCCCAAAACAGAAATCCTTGTATTTGGCAGTTTCTCATTCATTCCTCCCACAAACATTTCCTGAGTGCCTGCTGTAAGCCAGGTTCTGTGTTAGATGACGAATAAGACACAATACTAGCTCACAGCCTGGGCTGGTGTTTAAATGGAGAAGACTAATAACCCTTTCCAACGGGCAAATTTGTCGAACTACTTGGGGCTCCACTTTATCTTTAATAAATAAATAAATTTATTTATGTATTTATTTATAGCTGCATTGGGTCTTCGTTGCTGCACTCGGGCTTTCTTTAGTTGCATTAAGCAGGGGCTACTCTTTGTTGCAGTGCACGGGCTTCTCATTGTGGAGGCTTCTCTTGTCGCGGAGCACAGGCTCTAGGCGCGCGGGCTTCAGTAGTTGTGGCTCACAGACTCAGTAGTTGTGGCTCGTGGGCTCTAGAGTGCCGGCTCAGTAGTTGTGGCACACGGGCTTAGTTGCTCCGCTGCATGGGGGATCTTCCCGGACTAGGGCTCAAACCCATGTCCCCTGCATCAGCAGGCAGATTCTTAACCATTGTGCCACCAGGGAAGCCCCAGTGCTCTATTTTTAATACTAACTCATCCAGAAAAATGCTTCAGGAGCTGGTGCTACACAAAATCAGAAGTCCTTTGGAACTGCACTGAGGTTCTCTGATGGTCAAGATTAATGGTAAAAATCCACCCTTAAATGTTTTAAGCTAAAATCCATGTCCTGTAGTGCTGACCTCTGGGGTCCCAACTTGAGAAAAGTATCCAGTCTTGCTCAGAGGCATCAAACTTCTTGTGGGTTCTCAAGTGGGACACGTCTAGGTGAGAAGCAAGCCAGCTTCCTCTGTTTCTACAAAAGAATAATGTGTTCTTTGTTGTGTCTGTAGATTTGATATCCAAAGATTCAGGTCTCCCCAATCAACAACCCATGCCCATCAGGCCAGTCTCACACTTGACAGAGAATTCAGCTGTGAAGTAACTCAAGCCATCACTTACCCAAAGCTCAGTTGAGACTGCTGCTTTTTGAGAGGAAGACATTCACTTTCCATTCCTCTAAAACTGTTAAACTCTATCCTTCATATGTTAAGTCACCAAAAAAGGAATTTACCTAGACTATGTTAAGCTTAAGCTGAATTATAAGCTATCAGGTCCATGGTTTTTTTAAGAGGAATTCCATTTTAATAACATTTGTGAATTTCATAGTCTCTGGATACAAATTGTTTCTTTGAATTGAATGATGAGAACCACATATACTAAGGTTTCCACTTTTGCTTTAGCTGCCAGGAATTTCAGGGATAAATAGAGGGATAGTTTCCTAATTCCCTGGTTCATCTCTCTCTCTTCCTTTATTCTGGCTTCTAATCTTTCTCTTCCATGTTTTCATTTTCTATATCTGTACTGTCCAGTATGGTAGCCTCTAGTCACAAGTGGCTATTAAGCACTTGACAGGTAGCTTGTCCCAGTTGGCATGTGCTGTAAGTGTAAAGTATCTCAAATTTTAATATCAATTATATGTTGAATGATATTTTGGATATATTAGGTTAAATAAAATATATTATTAAACGTAACCTCACCTGTTTCTTTTGACTTTTCTTTTACTAGAAAATTTTAAATTACGTATGTGGAAAAAAAATATACACGTGGCTTGCATTTGTGATGTTCATTATATTTCTGTTGGACAGCTCTGTTCTACAAATCATCCTGTTTTATGAGTGTGTTATTACCGTAAAATACCTCAAATCCTTTCGGAAAGCAAGTAAAGTAGTAAATACAAAGGTGACAGCAGTGGATGAAGTCAGAAGGGGAGGTTGACTGGGACATGTATTTGTCAGTCTGTTTGTCTTTTGTTTGTGTCAGCTCTCCTCTTCACAGGTGAGTGGTGTTCTCATGGCTCTGCCCAGTCGAAAAATTCTCAGATTTATTTGAGCTAACAAATTGGAAAGGATCTGATAAGACAATTCACACCACATTGTAAATGACTGATAACACTGTGTTCACCCCTCTCAGGGGGTATTTCCATTTTGACAGGGAACAATCCCTGAACCCAAAGGAATGAATCCCTAATGGTGGAGTTTCAGGCATCAGTGACAGGTGAGTGAGAGTGAGGCAGACTCTGGTTTTATGTGTATGTATGTTTATATATGTATGACTACATTCAGGACATAGCTGAAAGTAGCGTCTTCGGATGAAAAGATAATGGGGCCGACAGACAAGGTGAGCAGAGAAGGTAGCCAATCCCCATATGGGTCAGACTGCAAAGGGCTGTCAGACACCAGATCCAGTGCAGGCCCTCAGGGGTTTGTTAAGCAATAGAATAGCCCAGTTGATGTCACCAGAGGGTAGCTATTGAGACAGCCTTCATGGCAACTACTATGGAGTAGCAGAAAGGGACTCAGAGTAGGATTCAGAAGAATAGGATTGTAGTCCACAGCTGACTCACTGGCTTAACTGTGGGCAAGTGCTTTCACCCTGGGGCCTCAGTTTCTTTGGAAAGTAGAAATGGGTATTATAACTATCAATGAACTCTAAGGGATGTGAAGGTGCTCAGAGAAGTAGGAAGTGCCCTACAAATGCAAGGAATCATGACTGTTACCTTAAAGTAGAAATGCAGCCATGAAAACCTGGAGTAGTGGAGGGTGTATAGCAGGGGTGGAGAGCTATGAGGAAAACCAGTCCTTCTCTGTCCTCCCAGGTTGAACTCGGATTCCCAGGGCCCATGCTTCCACCTGACAAATGATGGCCTGAGCTATGAACAGACAGGACCATACGAACACTCCGGTGCAAGAGCCCCCTCTTGACTACTCCTTCCGAAGCATCCACGTGAGCCAAGGTCAGCCCCCAGAGCACGGCATTCCACTCACCATGGCAGCAGGATGGGTGTGGTCCCTAGGGAGAAGCCAGTCTTCTACTTAAAAGCCTAAAGAGATTCTTCGCATAAGCATATGGGATTTTTGTTGCTGCTATTTTGGGGAGAGTAGTGGGTAGGGAGGTGGGAGTGGAAGAGTTTGGCCTTTTTAAAAATTACCAGCAAATCTGAAAGGACCCAGGGGGCTTTCAGGGTAACTGATGATCTTCAAAAGAAGCCAGGCTACAGCAAGACAGTCAGGTGGAAGAAAACGGGAGAGCCAGTCTATCAGCCAATAGTTTTATTCTCCACTTTTTACCTGGAGAGAAGAGACTAATGAAAACACAGGCTGCTACAGAGTCCCAGCCAACAGGCAGAACCCACTCTCCTCTGTCTGAGGACACAAGCCTGTTCTGATCACTGGTAAAACATGCAAGGTCTTGTTATTAACAAAATGGCATGTTTCCAGTCTAAATATTTCTTGACAAATTTTACATTCATTTCAGTCATATCCAAATTTATTCCATTATCACCCACACTTATTACAGGTCCCAGCACTGCCCACACTCATTCCTATTTTATCATTCAGTGTGTGTGTAAATGGGCAGCTAGTACCTTTCAGGAGGGGACAGAGGGAGGCTCTCATCAAGATCATATTCTCAAGGGAATGTGCTTCTTCCCAGGGAAGTTCTGCTGTCTTTGTTATCTGCTCTCATAAACACATCAGTACATCTGCCTTCACAGAACACAGGTTGGCATCAACATAACCTAGACCCATTATCTGGCTTTGGTCGACTCTCTTAGGCAAGCAGCCGCCACCTTTAAGTTCAGGAAGCACGTGAATAGTTATCAAGGGTACTGGATACTACTTGGGTTTGGGTTTAGGGTACTTACTACTGGGGTTGCCGTCAGCTACAACAGTAACTCCCATTTGTTCTCTCATAGCACACACCCACTTGCCGTGATCTTCCTTTATTATGCACAGCATCACTTCTGATTGATGTAGTCCATGTTTCACAGGGTTTTAGCTGCAATAATGGCTATGTACAAGATAGCTGAGGTGACAGAGGAAGGAGAGAAGTATGGCTCCTACCTACCCTGAGAATTCCTAGCTCTGAGTGGGGAGTGTGGCTTAGCCCTCTATGGTGTCCTCAGAAGGAGGGGAGAGACAAGTTACTATGACCAAGGATAACTGCACAGCACAAAACATAATCTGCACAGATGCCCTGTCTTTCATTTAACAGTTAAATCTTGAGCACCCACTACTATTAAGCCTTCTATATATGTGTGTTTAGATCTGTACACGTATGCCAGGCATATGCTCCTTGCTGAGTGGGGAAGGGAGAAGGAGAGGCACATCTAAGCCCCAAAAGGCCAGTCCCCTCAGGTTCCCCAGGGCATTTGGCACACTTACTTAAAATTGGGGTTAGAGGACAGGGTAGAGTTTTGGGGTACCTGGTACACTATTTCCTGAATTAATCAATATATGGATCATAGAATCTGAAATGGCAGTGACTTTAGAAGGCATCCAGTCTACCACCTCCAACCCATAGTGCTCTAACTGCTCACAAACCCACAGTTAAGGGAGTCCCATACCACACACCTACCAGCCCTTCCATTACAGGGTGAGGAATGACACAAAAAAGTTCTTCACATCAAACATGTGTTCTATGGGGACATGTGGGAAAAGCTGCGTAGCAACCCTTCATAGATATGAAGACAGAATTATGTCTTCCCCAGATCTTCCTGGGGCTAGACAACCCCTAGTTCTCTGAGTGTTGATATCTGTGGTCCAATTTCCAGACCCGCCTTGGCCTACTCTGAACAGGGCAGCTTTGACAGATCCTCAGGCAATGCAGTGCTCTGATGGAGTCGGTGGAGAGCAGCCTGGACACCCTCCTCCACCCATGATAACAGCAATCCCAGGCAGCCTCAAGTTCTAGGCAATGCCATCCCCAGTGGCTCCCCCTGAGCTGGGATCAGCCCATGCTTGCTGGCATTCCCCAAGCTGCTGTCTCATCAGACTGGAGGCTAGTCCGTAGGTGGGCTTATTTTGATCTTAACTTTTACTCATCTGTCTTTTCATTTCAGGGTTTGCAGTCAGGCGATGTGAGGCTGGGGGTCAGGATTAGGGTTTATTCACGAGCGGGGGTACTCCGCTCCCTGACCCTCCTGCCACCTCCCCCCCCACCCTCAGGCCCCAACTGTGGGTCCGCTCACTCCCGGACCAAGACAGAGAGCCACCTGGTGGATGCTGCCTGACCTGCAGCTGAGGAGGAGAAGTTCAAGCTGGGTGGGGGTGGAAGAGAAGTGTGTCTAGTAAGAGCTGAGGAGAGGGTGAAGACAAGCGGACCAGTTCAGAAAGTACTACTTCCTTTCTGGGAGGCAGCTTTAGACGAGTAACTAAAGGCATAGAGGCAACAGGAAACATCTAGTCACCTCAGCCAGAGCTGGTGCATGGTTCTGACTCTGCCACTGAAACTGTGGGCCTCCTGGTTCTCCCTGCCCTGGTTCTTAACTTCCTTAATGGATGCCCCTCCCCCGACCCTCACTCTGCTTGAAGAATCTTATCTATTTCTCTAACTTGTATACACTCTATGCTAATGATTCTCAAGTCTATGTCTCCTTCATATCCAACTGCTTGCTTGGCTTCTCCTCTTTCTAGTACTATAGGAACCTCAGACCTGCCAAGGCCAAGCCTGAACTCATCACCTTCCCAACTTTTTTTTTTTTTTTTTTGACTGATTTATTTATTTTTCTTTCTGGCTGCGTCAGGTCTTAGTTGCGGCACGCGGGATCTTCATTGCAGCATGTGGGATCTTTCCGTTGCGGCACACGCGGCTCTTCGCTGCAGCGTGTGGGTTTTTCCTCTCTTTAGTTGTTGCGTGCGGGCTCCAGAGAGTGTGGGCTCTGTAGTTTGCGGCACGCGGGCTCTCTAGTTGAGACACGCAGGCTCAGTAGTTGTGCGCAGGCTTAGTTGCCCTGTGGCATGTGGGATCTTAGTTCCCCAACCAGGGATCAAACGCACGTCCCCTGCATTGGAAGGCAGATTCTTTACCACTGGACCACCAGGGAAGTCCCTCTTCTCCTTTTCTTAATCCTGTATCAGTTCATAGGACTGGCATCTCACCAGTCATCAAGAACATTGGGCAACACCCTTGAATTTTTTTTTTTTTTTTAACTGTGCCACACAGCACGTGGGATCTTAGTTCCCAGACCAGGGATCGAACCTGCGCCCCCTGTGTTGGAAGTGCAGAGTCTTAACCACTGAACCGCCAGGGAAGTCCCAACACCCTTGAATATTATTCTACCCTTGAATCTAGTCAACATCAAGTCATGCTGTTTGTATGTCCCTCATCCTTGCTTAGATGACTGAAAGAGCCAAATTGGTCTTCCAGTCCCACCCACTCCCTCCAATCCATGCTCCACACTAAACCTTCAGAGTGATCTTTCTGAATTGACAGAGCTGTATCATCTCCTTTGCTTTCAACCCTCCAGTGGCTTCCCATCTTCTGCAGGATAAAGTCTAAGATGCTCAGCCTGGTTTTCAAGGCTCCGTGTCTCCTTTTCCCTCCTTGCCCCCTTGTGTAGTATGTGTGTGTGTGCCCATTGCTATTCCATACCTCTGTAACTTTGCACATGCTCTTCTCACCCTTTCCACCCTTCTTTGCCTGGTTAACGTCTCCTAACCCACTGAGATATCCAGCTCAGGCTTCACCTTCCCTGGGAAACTTCCCTAAGCTCCCAAACTGGGTTAGGAGACCCTTTTCTGTGCTTCCACAACTTAAATAGCATTTATTATAGAATATTGACCGTTTGTTTTCATCTTTCCCATCTGAGCTCCTCCAAGGCATAAACATCTGCTTCACCCCTGCTCTATTATTCATATAGAGCTTATCTCTCATTTTGTTCACCACTGTATATCCAGTATCTGGCACATAGCAGTTACTCAATACTAATGGAAGAGGGAGAGGACATCAAGAGTGTGTGAATCTATAGGCTCTACCAGTGGATAATTCTGGATTTTGTGCTTCAGCATCTTGGCTGAAGTCCAACACCTCTTGCTTCTTGGTTTCCTCATCTATAAAATCCGCCTCCCTCCAACTCCCACACAGGGGTGGTGTACAGAGGACCCAATGATAATAGACCTGAGAGGAGCATGTGACCCAAACCAAGAGTTTGGGATGTGAAGTCTTTGACCCTTAATCCAAGCTCACTCTGACTGCTGGGGCCTGGGGAACACTGCATACAGTCGCACTGGACACAAGCATGGGATTCTGGCCCTGCCAGCTCCTCTAGCTACAAATCCTCCCAGTTCTGTTCCTTTGCCACCCCCCAGAGCCAGAAAAGCAAAGATGACATACCCAAAGTTCACTCTGTCCCCACAGATCTGTTAAGCGAGGAGCCACGGACAGGGCTACGACCACTAAGGCACGCAAAGTCAGGGAAGTCAATGTCTCAGTCCCTGTGGCTGAACAACAACGTCCTCAATGACCTGAGAGACTTCAACCATGTGGTTTCACAGCTTCTGGAGCATCCAGAGAACCTGGCCTGGATTGACCTGTCCTTCAATGACCTGACTTCCATTGACCCTGTGAGTCCAGAGGGTGGACCTGAAGCCACCTTGTCCAGCCCCCAGCCTCTCCACCTCCCACATATTATCAAGGAAGTAGTGAGGCAGCATGGTGCCCTGCAAAGCACATGGCTGTAGGCTCAAACAGATATAGGTTCAAATACTAGATCTGCCTCGGACTTTGTGACCTTGGGCAAGCTCCTAACCTTTCAAAACCTCAGCCTTGCTGTCTGAAAAATGGGGATAATATGCCAGCATTATAAACATTTTGTGAGGATTAAGTGAGAACATATGAAAAGCAACTGGCACACAGCAAGCCTTCACATAGGAGGCTGAAGTAAAATCGTAGCTTATTATTGGGCACCCACTGTGCTTTGTGCCAAGTTCTTTTGCAGAGGTAGGTACTAAAAGTACAGCAGTTACTTTCCATGAACTCAGGCTAAACTTTAAGAAACAAACAAAACTAGCCCCTTTTCATCCAGGATCTGTGCTAGAGGGGAAAGGAGTTAGAGTATGACTTGGAAACTGTTCCCCAGGTGCACTGATCTCAATTTAACTACTATTTTAAAAGCTCTTATGTACCTAGCATGATGCTGTCCCCTGTCCCCTGTTGTGATAGAATCTTAGAACACCAAAGCTGGAATGGTCTTCAGTGAAGGGACAGCTAAGGCTCAAGGAGAAGCAGGAGAGCCCAGGCACCTGGCAAGTCAGTGGCAGTGACAGGACCCAGGCCCATACCTTCTGCCCCTCGGATCACAGTGCTGTCAGTGTGGTGCCCCTGTACCCCTTCAAAGGCAAATAAAAGTAGGTTGGAATCAATCTAGTACGGCTCTGGGGGTGACAAATCATTCCCTCAACTCTTCCTTCTCTGCCCACAAGTCAGTCCTGAGCACAGATACACGGCTCTGTCCAGTCTAGCTTCCAGTTTCCTTCCCCAACAGGTCCTGACAACTTTCTTCAACTTGAGTGTGCTCTATCTCCATGGCAACAGCATCCACCGCCTTGGAGAGGTGAACAAGCTGGCTGTCCTCCCTCGGCTCCGCAGCCTGACACTCCATGGGAACCCCATAGAGGAAGAGAAGGGGTATAGGTAAGTGCCCTGCCCTGGAGGTGGGCTCCAGCTAGGCTCCCATGAGGGAAAGGAGGAGAGTTAGGGTTAGAACCCTAACACCATCCTTCTGCTATGCTTGGACCAGGGAAGGGAGTAGAGGGCTTCAGGCATTTCTTGATGTCAGTCAGGATAAATTCAGTCTCCCCCACACTCTACTCAAGTCCCTCCATTCCTTGCAGTCAGAGGAGATAGGAGCGACTGGTGGAGGGGGAAAGGGGTTCTAGAAGGGGGCCTGGCCCCAGCCCAAGTCTTCCCCGCAGGCAATATGTGCTGTGCACTCTGCCCCGTATCACCACGTTCGACTTCAGTGGGGTCACCAAGGCAGACCGCACAACAGCTGAAGTGTGGAAACGCATGAACATCAAACCCAAGAAGGTCTGGATCAAGCACAACGCACTCTGAGGTTCCCGGGACCCCAGCAGTCCTAAAGGCCCGGGGATGGTCAGTTTGGTTTGACAATAAATGATTTGAGCTGTTCAGCAGAAGTCTCTTATACCGTGTAAAGATGCCACCCAACTCAGGCAAGCGCCAGTAGCTCTGGTCTTACTTCACTGAAACAAGGAGGAAGTGGAAGGAAAGGCCTGCTGGCTTGGGAGGCCTTGGGAAACTTATCTAACCTGTCTGGGCCGCTTTTCACTCTTTAGGTCCGATATCCTGAGGTTAGAGTTGCTTCACACAGCACCAAGGTTCTGTGGAGATGCCTCAGAGCCTTCCATGACAGGAGGCCAATAAGATGGGCTGTGACCTCTGAACCCCTCACTTCAATCAATCAGATGAGAGTAGTTTCACTGTCATGTTTACATGTCATGATTCTACTTAAGATTTCACTTGATAAAAAGAATCTTCTGCTTGAAACTATGTGTCTGCTGACTCTGTACCAGGTGCTGTTGGTCTCCCTGCATACATCCACCCCCTCACCAGGCTTCTTGGTAATTCCACTGAGCCTGAGGCAATACCCACAACAGTTGACAGCTGCCTCAGATTCAAGTTCAGCTTTGACAGTGTTCCCATCACTGGAGGAGGGACAAGCTGAGTCTTATCCAATCTGAGGTTAGTGCAGGCCAAGTCTCAGCTAAGACCTGGGAACCCATCCTCCACCTCGCTGCTCACAGACTTGAGTAGCCAGAAGTAAGTAGTAGGGGGATGGGCAGGACAGAGGGGCTGGAACCAGCACACAGATGGATACACTTCCTTTATCGAGGGTGACAAACCAAACCAAAACAAAAAAAACCCAAACATGTAAAAACCCAGGGTGCTAGAAATACAAACTCAATTCATTCAAATTCAAGCTCATCCAGACCCTGGTCACAAGCCCTCGTGAGGTGCATGTGAGCACCAAGTCAGGGAGAGGGGGGCAGAAGTGAGGCCAAGAAAGGGTGGGCAGGGGGTCCTAAGAGGCCCCCTAGTGATCACCCTCACACCAGCACCTGCACCTTCCCAGTGATGGTGAAGACCTACCAGGCCCTGTCCCTGTGACCCCCACCCCACCCCTGGCCAGGGCTTCGAAGGTCAGTCCCAAATGGTTCTCCCCTCCCCTGTTCCATCCTCACTTGCTCAGGCTTCTCGCCTCACTCTTCTCCTCCTCCTCCACTTTCTTCTGTGATTAGTAGCAGGTTAGGATACTGTATAAGCCACAGTGAGGCTGGGGGCCAGGGGAGGCAGGGTGGAGACGGAGTGAAGAGAGGAGGAGAAGAGCTGTCCAGGGACCCCTCTCTTCATGGAATCCCAAACTGTACAACCAGCTCCTCTTTTGCGTCCACACGGATCTGAGAAAGTGCACTGTAGGCATAAGCAGCTATCCTGGAGACCTGGGACAGAGGGACCGGGAGAGAGGAACAGAGAGACAGGTGAGAAGGGAAATCCGGAAGCAGGGGGAGGGGATGGGTGGCCAGAGAGGGAATGATGGGGGACAGGGAGCCAAAGAGAAAGGCAGGGATGGGAAAGACGGAAGGGAAGAACAAAGGGTAGCAAAAGAATGAAGGTTTAAGAGAGGGGATGGGGAGGAGAAGAAAAGAGTGAGGTGGGAGTGAGCGGGGCCCACAGCTACCAGGCTCCCTAACTCCACTTCCCTACCTCCTCTGAGGTGGAGGGGCGAACCCTGTGCCTCGCTGCCACCCAGCGGCAGGGGCGGGGCGAGGGGTGGCTCACCTGCTGCAAGTCGGCGAAGGGGACAGGCTCGCTGGCCAGCACTTGGTGAGGCTGGCTGGTGAGGGACGGCAGCGGCGGCAGCTTCTTCCAATGGGTCAGGCTGCTGCTCAGCACAGCCAGGCGGGTGCTGGCCGAG